CCCATCTTCTCTCTCCACCCCATCTACTGTAATTCATTTCTCCCCCTTTTTTTCCCTTTCCCCTCACTTCCTCTTATAACAATTTTGTATAACAATGAGAGTCTCCTTCCATTTCCATGCAATTTCCCTTCTCTCTCCCTTTCCCTCCCACCTCTTGTCCCTGTTTAATGTTTTTTTTAAATTTTATTTTTATTTATTTATTTATTTATTTTTTGGTTTTGATTTTAAGATGAACAAATCTCAAAGTAATAAAAAGGCAAGTCTGGCACTAGGTGCACCCAAGTCCAAGTCACTACCATCTGTCTTCCAGTTAATTCCTTTTTTTTTTTTTTGCACCAGGGATTGAACCCAGGATGCTTAATTACTGAACCACATCCTCAGCCCTTTATTTTGAGACAGGGTTTTGCTAAGTTACTTAGGGCTTCATTAAATTGCTGAGGTTAGCTTTGAATAGAGACTCTCCTGCCTCAGCCTCCTAAATTGTTGGGATTAGCACCACCATGCCCCACCAGCCCAGTTCATTTTGTCTCTGCTTCCTTTACTCCCTGTTACTGACTGTTGTCTTCCCTTCGGAGTCTGATGTTGAAGCCAAATGTGCAATAAGGCCTTTAGGGAGGTCATTAAGGTTAAATGAAATCTGAGAGAGGCCCCATCTGCTATAATTGGTGCCTTAAGAAAGAGGAAGAAACCCTAGACCTTGCCCCACTCTCTGAGCTTGCAGGAAAGGCCATGGGAGGACACATCCAGAAGTTCATCTCCTCTAGTCACCAGAAACTCAATTTGTTCACATTTTCACTATGGACTTGTAGCTTCCAGAACTTGAGAAAATAAATGTCTATTGCTTAGGCCACCCAGGCTATGCTACTATGTTATGTTAGCCTGAGCTTATTAATACAATCCTCCATTAAAAGTTAAGAACGATTACACTATTGGAGTGGCTCTATAGAGCCAGAGGAATGAAAGGTTTTGCTCCATTTGTGTACAATACATCAAAATGCATTCTACTGTAAAATTAATAAATACATAAATTTAAAAAAACCCAAGAACAAAATCAACATAGCACCAAATTCCAAACTCCCATGTGTTGTATGTATAGATTATTCTTTTCAAATATATTTTTATTTTTTTTTTGTTGGTACTGGGGATTGAACCCAAGACCCGGCACATGCTGGGCAAGTCCTCTATCAATGAACTACACTCCCAGCTTTTTTTTTTTTTTTTTTTTTTTTTGAGGGTGGGAGGGGGGGGGATTTTTAATTTTTTTTTTTTTTTTTTTTTTTGAGAGAGAGAGAGAATTTCAATATTTATTTTTTAGTTTTTGGCGGACACAATATCTTTGTTTATATGTGGTGCTGAGGATCGAACCTGGGCTGCACGCATGCCAGGTGAGCGTATGACCGCTTGAGCCACATCCCCAGCCCAATCCCAGCCTTTTTTAACTTAATTTTTTGAGACAGTGTCTCCCCAAGTTGCCTAGGCTGGGCTCAAATTTTCTATTCTCTTGCTTCAGTATTGGGAGTAGCTGGGATTACAGGTGTGAGCCACTGCACCAGGCTTGGTCCCTCCTCTTGGCCAACTAGATAATAACAAGATTTAGGGTAGTATCTTTTTCTTACCAAAGGACACTAGTCACCATAGCATATGCACTGAAGATTCAGTAGGAACTTTGAACACTGGCTCTGTTAAGCTTCCCTGGTTGGCAGTACCTTTTCTGTATCAAACAGTGAAAGTACATGGTCCTGATCCTACCAGGAGGGAACAATGGAACCCAGACACGGGGGTGTGGGGGGGTATTTCCCCCACCTCTATCCTATGCACTTTTTAAAAAAGCAATATTTTAATTATAGTTAACACATTAATTGTAAAAATCAACGGGATTCACTGGGATATCTCCCCACATGCAAATGTCCTATGTCCATCATGCCTATCCACCCTTCTTCTACTCTCAATCTCGCTGTCCTCCCTTTATTTACTTCTTCCCATGGCTGATGTTAATCTGCATCCTCTCCCTGTAAGCAGTGGTTAACTGTGAATACAGCAGTTTTCAGTGAATTCGCAGTCCTGCCAACGAATTATCAAAGCTGAGAGTGGTTTTGCAAATGCCCAGAACTTGCAGTTGGTGTCTGAAGTGAGGGTGGTCTTGGGGGGCTGTTCCTTGTGTGTGGCTGACCTGTACTGAGCACCTTTCATGACCAGCGTAATCCAGGCACTTCTCAGTTCTCCACGTCACGCCCGTCTTGTTTTTCCACTTATTGGTCTGTATTCCTGTTTCTCCCACTGGATGTGCACTCCAGAGCAGAGGTTGAGGTGCTTTACATATGATGAGACTAATCACCATACTCAGGCCCTTTAGGAGTGTGTGCTTTATTTTCTCTTGGCCTTTATTCACATCAGACTGGGTATGGTTCTGATACCACCAGTTATCCCTGACTAGGGCCAGGTATGCTCGGTGGGAGGGCCAAAAGATGGGAACCAGGTGGACTGAAGGAGAAAGGGCAGTGTAGCCAAGGACACATTAACAACCTTATATCTCCCTGTAGGGAGGGGAAATTCCTGGGACAGGTTACCTTGGCAACAGGTTGGAGCAGGGGCAGGTTCTTTATAACATCACTCAGGGGAGTTTCTAACTTCCCAGAATCACTCAAAATTGGCCTCCTAGATCCGGCCTGACTCGATTTACCTATCTACACTGACTGCCTGTCTAATTATGGCTGCATCCCCCATCTAATTTTAGGAACTGCTTACTGCTGTAAGGAGAAGGGGCGACACTTGTTCTGGCTGCTTCAAAGCTAGAGGGGGTGACATGAGGGGGCACGACATGAGGGGGCAAGCAGCTTTGGAGTTTGCTTTTAGAAGTCAGGTTGGATTGAAGTCTGGTTGGGGAAGAGCAGGTTGTAAAGTCATCTGGGGATGGGTGCTTCTATGAGAGAAACAAAACCATGAGTACTGAATAATGTTGCAGCAGCTGGAACACATCACTGTATAATATTAGTCCTCTCACCAGGAAGAGTGAGGACTGAGAAGTTGTCCCCTAACAAAGTTGGAGAGGACAAGGCCTTTATTTAGTAATGTAGATCTTTAACATCCCCAGTTATCAGGAATGTAAACCCAACATTTAACTTTTAATGTTACAGATGTTCATCTCCATAAGATGTAGTTAAATAATTTAATGTCATCTGGTCTTGTAAAATCCTTCTACTGTTATGACCTCTGTGTCTAGTAGAGAACCCCTTAATGCTGTTACTTAGGATGGGATAGTCATACTAGCAAACACCAAGCCTACCTGTGTAGGTGAGGAATATCTGTAGGCCTTAAACTAAAAACTACTCTGGCAGTTCCTTTTGATAGTGAGTTTCTTTTGATAGTTAGCAGGCATTCCTGTCTAAGAACCTCTCTTTTGTAGCCTTCAGTCTTACTTATTTTGGGGGCTAACACGAGGTGTATACCTTAAATTTCTTCTTCTCCTTCTCCTTCTTCTTCTTATTTTAAATGCCCAGGAAAGGCTGTTTCAGCTTTAACTATTTTTTGCTAGGTGTTTAAAATGAAGCAGCCAAACTGACTTTTTTGTTTCTATCTATTGTTAACAGTCGGCTGAGTTTCCATGGGAGTCCTCCTGGGGGAACTTGAGAGCAGCTTCTCAGTTCTGCTAGTGCAATTTGCGCTAGGATGGGTCCAGGTCTTGCTTGACCATGTGGCTTCGCTTGGAAGCATCAGGGATGTCTCCCTTCTCTGACGACCCTCCTGTTCATAGCAAGTACACTGATTGGCTTTCTGTTATCCAGGGGTCTTATTAATCTCCCTGATCAGGAGGTTATGTGGCCCAGAGATGCAAAGCTCTTTAGAGAAGTTTCTTGCTCCCTGGATTTAGACTGACTCAGAAGGCAAGAGCCAAAAATATTGATTTTCTTGGCCCTTTTAATTTAATTTTAATTTTGATCTTGATCTTAAACATCTAGCAAATAAATTAAGAGTATTGGGCTTTAATGTCTATAACTTTACAATTATTTACCTTTTTTATTAATTGGGGTCTGCATTATCCTATCTATCCTGTAGGTGATGGCTTATTATCTTAAATTAACCCAGATTGTGTGTTCTTACAGCAATACCTCTTGCAAAAAATTAATAGGCAATCTTTAGACCATTTATAAGGAAAAAAACAAAATAAAATTAACAAGAGTAAAAACATATTTTGTTTGTGTAATAGCTACTTTGAATTTTGGCTGAGTTACATATTATATCCTCTGTTTGAGATCCTAGTAATCTTCAGAAAAATCAATCTTTTGAACACAACTTTAAATGAACTGAAATCTGGCCCACTGTGGAGTCATTCTGATGTAGTAAGATGGGATGCAGAACCTTATCTCAGGTAAGGCAGGACTCTTCATAACTCTTTATAAATCTTAAGTGTTCTAGTTCTGAAGCTGATCTTTGCTTCTTAAATATCATTTTATAAAGTTTATATATATTGTTTCTCAAGATCATAAGAATATTATCTAATACAATATGATATTACATTTAAAACGTGAATTAAAGAAAGGCTGAGAGCTTTTAACCTTTTGTGGAAAAGTAGCAAAATGTTTGTGTTTTACAATATAAACCTTTACACAGTGTAAAAAATAAATTTATATATCTTATTGATAACAGGCCCAGTTATAGAATAATAAATGATATAAATAAATCTCCAATGTTATTCTTGTAAGCTTAAAATTACCATACAACTTTATTTTGGAGAACACCAGTTTTATATGCTCTTTTAAAGCTTCTTATTGAGCAGGTCCATTATTTTGTGTGACCATTCCTAGGGCCTTGCTGACAAATTGGTTAAATTTTGCTCCATAGGTAAGTTGAGAACAGGGGCTCAAATTAAGGCCCCGTTTAATGTCTTAAAGGCTTCCAAAACCTGTTCATAACTCAGAGGGGGAGTAAACTTTTTGGTAAGTTTATCCTTTAAAAGTAGGTGTCCCTTTATGGATTCAGGATTTAGTGTGGTGTTTTTTATTGTCTCCCTGAGTTTCTTATGAAAATAGCAGGGCTTTCCTGGGGTCTCTGAGTAATTTCAGAGACCTTGGAATAGTTAATGGGCTTTTGCTTGATCCTCCTGATGGCTTCCAGGACCAATGTTTGGAAATGTGTATTCTTCTAAGCATCCTGTTCATCATTTGGGTCCCAGTCAGGATTGTTTCTGGGAATCACCTGCGCGAGATAGATGAATAATTAGGTTTGTTTCTAGTTTGTGATGCTGGGGCATGGGCAAGATGTAGGTCCATCTCCAGATTTTTTAGCTACTTGCTTTAGGGTGGACTCCTTCTTATTAGAGGCTAAAGTTTGGCTGAGTAATAATATAATATTTTTCCAGGTGAGGTCAAGCACCTGGCATAAGTTTAGAAACATCCCAATATATTTATTTAGATCTTCCGACAATTTCCCTGAATTTGTTCTTATTTGTTTTAAGTTTGGGGGGGGGTTGGTCCTCTTGATTTCTCTTCCTCAGTAGATGATTCCTTAAGGCCTTCTCTCCTGGTAGACATTGAGGTTAGTTTGACAACACATGAAAACGTGGCACTTTTCCTGATCTGTGATTTCACAGTGTGTCGAGTAGTGGTCAATCTAAACACTGACTTGAGAGAGAAGCTCCCACCTGAGTGATGGAAAAATTCAAGTTTTCTCCCTCATCAGAGAAAACATTTTATCCACTGTATTAGGGACATCTCCCTAAACTTGAGCTTCATTACCGTCCAGAAAACCCGTCTCTCCTCACCTGGCTTTGCCAAAGTTATTTCTGGCTTCCTTTGACAAAGTGCTAGCTAGGGTCCCTGTTTGCCCTGTGCCAGAGACCCTGGGAGGATTCAGACTTAAGGGCTTTCCTCCCTGCCACCGTAACTCCTGATTATGAAAAACCCATGAAAAAACAGGATAATTGTATATGTCTTAACCTTTTGTGCCTAACTTTTGTCCTGTAGACTAAAGGAATCTCCTGATGGTAAGGGGAACTCTATTGGTTTTAACAATATAACAAACACCACTTTCCAGAGGAATTTATGGGAGGAGTTGGTTAAAATAGATTGCCTCCCTCTTGCAGCATTTTTTAAAAAAGTACAGTAAGTGCATCTGAGCACAGGAACAGTAATGGGAGATTTTAAACTGGCTTGTGAAGGCTAACTATGCGAACAAAAGGAACTAGATGTTATCTCACTAATCATCTTACATTTTCCCTCAGTCCTACAATATTAATTGCTAGTGTTTCTGATTGGTAAAAGGAAGGGAGCCTCCAGGAGGGCATGGATGCAGGGATGGGGAGTGTTGTGTGGCCCGCATAGAGCAAACAAGTAATTGGGGCTTTCCCTCAATTCCATTCATCTACCCATCACCTTAGATACCCTTTAGGGTAGTTGGCAGGAGTTTTCAGAGAAGGAACCTTAAGATTTTCGCCTGAGTGTAGCCCAAGCCAGAAATTCCGCAGTTGTTTCAAACTCCTTCCTCCACCTCCATGCATCCAAGGCATATCGGGACTAGGGACACTGTGCACTCACGCCAATTGCTCTCCAGGCCTGGACAGAAGAGTAGGAAGTGGCTTCAGCAGAACCCAACATGCCTGCTCTGTATTGAACAGGTGATTGACAGCTGCCTAGGCTAGGAAGACTTTCACCTGAGTCTTGAAGAATGGCAGCTGCACTAATGCATTTAAATAGCCAATGGGTGCTCTAAATCCTCCAAAATGAAAGAAGAAAGATGCACCTCAAACAAATGTGTGGTGCATGGAGAGAAGCTTACCTCCGTGTAGACCTTGGTGGAACCTCCAAAAATGATACCACTGCTTATCAGTGCGTCCTGCTTCCCCACATGTTGAAGTTTGAACGTTAGAGAAGCACACCGAGGCAAGCATATGAAGCAGGGTTTATTTAAAAAGGGGTAACGGAGACTTCTCTTGAGAGGGAGAAGGGGGCCATAGCTGGTGTCCCAAGAGGGGAGGTGTTCTGCCCTTTTTATATGTCCTAGGCTTTCTTTGTTCTCCTGCCTTTTCCCTCTTATCTTTCAACTTCCTGCGGACATGAATAGGCCCAGAAATGCTCCGTGGGGTGGCCAAAAGGTGGGAAAAGGTGGGCTGAAGGGGGAAGGGCAGGATGGAGCAGCCAAGGACACATCAACAACCTTATAGCTCCCTGTAAAGAGGGGAAATTCCTGGGACAGGTTACCTTGGCAACAGGTTGGAGCAGGGGCAGGTTCTTGATAAGATCCCTCAGGGGGCAGTCTCTAACTTCCCAGACTCACTCAAAACTGGCCTCCTAGATCCGGCCTGACTTGATTTACCTATCTACACTGGCTGCCTATCTAATTCTGGCTTCAGTTCCTTCAAGAGAAGGTTAGCATTATCCAAATCTGCACTCAGTTTATTCTGATTGCTTTGTAAGGTTGTCAAAACTCAGGGAATGGCGAATTTTAAAATAAATAACATGCTTGTGTAAGTTCAGTAATCAATCCCGCCAGAATAGCACTAACAAGCCCTGCCCCTCCACTCTGACCCCTCCCCTAAGCCCCGCCCACGGACTCCTGCAGGAGGCTTCGCTGGGAGGGGGCCGCAGTGAGCATGCGCACAGCGCCCAGGCGCGGTTGCCGTGGCAGCGCCGGCCCGAGGAAGGGCGGCGGCGCCTGGCCGGACCGTGGCTGGCTGAGGCAGCGACGTTGCCACCCGAGAGCCCGCGGCCTGGCCAGAGGTGGTACCAGACAGGCTTGAGTCGCGGAGTGCTCCTCCCGGCCGACGGGGATGCGGGACCGGCTTCCGGACCTGACGGCGGTGAGCGCCGAGCGGGTAGCGGTCCGGTCTGGCGGGGCGGGGCTCCGGGCGGGGTCTGGGACTCAGCTGGCCGGGCGCGGGCTCCGGGCGGTTCCTGAGGTCCGGACCAGCTGGCAGGGCGGGGGCTCCAGGCGTTCTTGGCTCCTGAGGTCCGGGGCATCTGGGCGGGGGCTCCCGGCGGGTCCTGAGGTCCGGGGCAGCTGGGCGGCGGCTCCCGGCCAGTCCTGAGGTCGGGGCATCTGGGGCGGGGGCTCCCGGCCGGTCCTGAAGTCCGGGGCAGCTGGGCGGCGGCTCCCGGCCAGTCCTGAGGTCGGGGCATCTGGGGCGGGGGCTCCCGGCCGGTCCTGAAGTCCGGGGCAGCTGGGGCGGCGGCTCCCGGCGGGTCCTGAGGTCGGGGGCTCCAGGCAGGCTGGGGCTCCAGGCGGTGGTTCCAAGATATGGGATTTTAGAGTTGGGGGCATTGCTGGGATTGGTGTCGGCATGCTGGAGCTCCTGGTAGGAACTCTGGGCTCGGGCTACTGGGGTGGGGCTCACAGCATCCTGGTGCTCTGGGAAGGCTAGACTTACCCGCAGGGTTGGGTCCTCTGGGAAGGGGCTTCCGGGGCTGCAGATCTGAGGTGGATCCCACAGGGAGTTATCTTTGCTGGTTTTGGTATACTCCTTCGGGCTATTGTGGGCCGAGGTTACTCTTGTGAGCCAAGGTCTTGGTGACCCCTCAACAGGTGGGATTCAGGGTGGGGTGACCCAGAGTCTCAGGGAAAGGGCTGGGACCCAGCATGACCCCCTGAGCGGCTGGGGCTGTACTTCCTGGGCCGAAGACTGTTTGGAGCTGAACCATTACGTGGCTTGGCTGGTTCTTTCCATACTTACCACAACCAGAAAGGCCTGGCCAACTGTCCTGCCATGTGAACCCTGGTGCCCCACTGAGCTGGATGGTGGTGGGGTAGGGCGAGCCTGTAGTTGCATCTTGTATTTTCTGTTTCCCTAGTAAATAGTGCACCTGGGGAAGGAGGCTGTGGGTGCTGAAGCTTTCTTAACACACCTGGTAGAGTGCATAGGCACTGCTGAGTGACCAAGTGACCATTGACTCCAGCAAGAGGAAAGTAGCACAGTTGAAAATGGAAAAAGATTTAAAAATACTTTCAAGTGACACATGGTATTGTACCTATTTATGGGGTGTAGTGTGACATTTCAATACATATGTGCAAAATGTAATGTTTAGATCATTGCAATTGACATATCTATTACTTAAGATATTATCATTTCTTTGTGCTGGGAACAATCAAAATCCTTTGTAGTAGCTATTTGGAAAAATACAGTTACTTGTTGTGAACTCCAGTTATCCTGCTGTGCTCTAGAGCATGAGAAGTCATTCCTTCTATCCAGCTGCACCCTGGACCCATTAACAATATTTCTCCATCAGTTCCTCACTCACACCCTTCCTTCCAGGCTCTTATGACCACAGTTCTATTCTCTACTAACTTGAAATCAACCTTTTAGCTTCCACATATGAGTGAGGATACATAGTGTTTGTCTTTCTGTGCCTGACTTATTTCACTTACCAAAATGACCCA